GTACTGCATTTAATGCACCACAAAAAGAACTTCAGTTGTGAGGAATGTTTTAAAACAAAAATTTTTTAACCTTTGGACTGCAAGAACAAAAGGACACTTGTTTTCCTGTTCTTACTTTGGCCACAATACAAATCCATATAGCAAAAAAAACTACTGCATTTGTAGGGGGGCAGCTTTAATAAATCAGTTAAGAACTTCAGAGTTCATAATTCTTCCTTTTTTCAGTATGGTGCATTTTGTTTTTTTGTATGCACCCTGTAATGCTTTGCCTCAAATACTGCCTTGAAGGCTTGAGACAAAGTGCAGCAGTGTTCTGTTTATAGTAGCTGCACAAAATACCTGTTTCCCCCATAAATCATTGAAAATGATTAGAAGTATGCATTTTTCAGCAGAAATAACAGCACACGGTACTACTCTTTCAGATTTCTTTTTTTGGAAGAAAGCTAATGTCATGCCATAAAAAAAAGTTAGTAGCTGTTATTAAAATCATTTCGATGTTGCTTTAGAGTGGTGTATGCTTCTTGCTCCAAAGGATCTGTCTCCACAGTCCAAGTTAAGACACTGAAATAGCCTATAGTTATGCAAAGGTTTTATAATTTGATGAAGAAACTCCTTATTGTGAAGCGATACTAGTGGAACCAGTTCTGTGTTTTTTAGCAGAAGTGCACGTTATCCTTTTAAACCAGGATAAAGGAAAACTGTGACAGCACATTAGTGGTGGTGTTGTTACAGATCCCTTTATCGTACATCTCTTCTCTACTTCTTCCCCCAAACAAGCTAATGGAAGCCTACCCAAATTGGACTTCAGAACACAGCTACAGCTTGCAGTTCAGAGTTTAAGACTCTTGTGAATGACACTGATAATTTACTCCATCTATGTTTTCAAATACCGTAAGCTCACCTTTATACTGCTACTCCTGAGGCTATGGGAATAGTTTTCTCAAGTTTGCATTTTATAAACAGAACCAACTTTGGTCTCTTGTTTATGTGGAAAATTATGGTACTTTTTTTCCAAAGGAATAATTATGTCTGAAAACTGTATCCATTACATGTAGGAGCTGCATAAAAATGCAAAGCAGAACAATAAGCCTATAGCAAAAGGACAGATGTTCATCCTACATATTTAGCTTGAAAATATCCCCACTCAAAAAGCCAAACCTCCCTCAAATACTGCATCTGACTGCAGTTGTGTTTAATGTTTTCAGGCTTTATTGGCACTGTGTTTGCAGATGGGAAGACACGAGGAAAACACAATGGTCATTCTTGCTGTATTGCTCAGGTGATGTTTTTTGGCTGTGCCTCGTGAGGGTTGGAGCCAGGTTTGGGAGTTCTGGGTGGTATCAGGATCTGTGTGTCAGAAAAATAGAGAGCTGGACTGTTGGTGGATGGCTTCTTCAGGCATCTTGCAGCAAGATTGCAATGCTTTGCATGGCTTTGTCTTAAAATTGTAAGTTTATGAGAGATGTCACTTCGTTCTGGAGATGCTTCTAAACTGTTTATGCTTTTCTCCTACACTCTTCTGAGAGACTTCCCTGTGTTATGGTTATAATATACTTGCATAGCTGCTATCAGTTTTTTGGTTCTTTCCTTTCCTTCTGAAAAAAGACATTCAGTGTACTTTCCCACAGAATTTGAGGAATTGTAATAAGAACTGCGTTCAGTTTACTCCTGGTCTGTCTTCTCCTGTTTGTTCATCCATGTGATACTTTCTTCTGTTCTTCTTTCTTTAGCAGAAAGGAGCTGTAGGAAAGGAGGATTCCTCTTCCCTAGTTTACTAATGTTCAGGTAGGATGTGTAATTTAGTTCTGGTGTCCAGTAGCAATGTGGGAGGATATCAGAACTGGTTGTCTCAAAGGAAGAGGAGGATGATACTGTGCGCTTGGATTGCTCATATATGGCCTTACCTTAAATGTGCTACTATAAATCTGAAATTAGCCTATTTGTGCAAATGCAATTTCCCAGAACAGAACAGCACAAGATAAAGGAGACTTGGATTGTCAAACAGGCTATTTAATTCCACTGATTTCCAGTTTTCCTTTCTGTATAAATTCTTTTCTGTATAAACGATCCTGTTCTCTGCTCATAGATCAAGTTAAACATGATACTTTTTATTCTAGATGTTTGTGGCAAGACTCTAACTCTTTTATGTCTCAATTTCTTTGCTCTGTTGGAAAAAGGTTTTCTTTGACAGCACATCAAATTTTATTGAAATTCTTGACATTAACTACTGTATTAAGAATAAAATATTGCATCCTATAGTTCTCTCTCTAGTTTATGTGACTATTTTCTTTTGTCTGGAGTTTTACAGACATGTAAGACAGCTGCAGTTGGAAATTTACTGCTGAGTATTGGAAGACAACTGAGTATCATTCTTTGTATATGCTTTCAAGCTACTTTGGCTGAGGATGATGAAGTGATTCTTCAAGCAGTGATATGTCAGTGTGTTATGAGGAACCATTTCAGCTGAGGCACTGTTGTTGAAATGTTGACTATTTAAGATGGTTTGGAATATCTGTGTGGAGTCAGTTCTCATTATAATCCTGCTTAACAGCATTTCATAGCCTATTTTCTTTCTTTGAAATGGAGGCCTATTCCTACTTTGAGGCATAATGGGGATGGATGTGGTTGCCAGCACATGACTTGAAGGGAAGAGCCCTAACTAACAAAAATTGGGCTTTTTTGCTAAATACCTACTTCCCTTTATGTTCCTTTCCTTGTTTAGTGATTCCTGAACCATGAAAGCTCTGTCTTTGCTGAATGGAAATCAGTAGTTTTAATAATAGAATTTATATTCATAATATAGATTTTAAACCACTTCAGAGAGGTTGCTTTATATTCTTTGTTTGTTGATACTACTAAGAAAAGATTAGAACTGTGCAATCCTTACAGGCTGCAACCTCTTGAACACTTCAATTGCAATTCTGATTACCATTCTCACTGACAGCTGCTATACTGAAAAGGAAGGTAAACATGAAAGATGTGATACTGTATCATAGTGCAGGACTGCCTGAGTCTGCATTGTGTGCCATTAGCAGGCAGTAAATCAGCTGCGCTGTGCTAGAGCCAGAAACCAGTAGCTTTCACACTTGCTGCCTGTTTCCCACTCATTGTGAAGCCCTGCCCTATCACTTGATGGACCTGGAAAGGAAGCAGGGAGGAAGCAAATGCCACTGCTAGTTCAAAATGTTCCAGTGTGTTTGGAAAGTTTGAGCAACAGCCTGGGTGAGAAGAACAGGACCTTATTGACAGGGTTCAATCCTAGTCAAGTCTGTTATACGTCAACTTTCTAAGTAGTCACAGCCTGTCTTTTTTCATCTCCTTTCCAGTCAGGGTTTCCTACTTTCTCCTCCTTTTCATGTATTTTGTTTTATTTACTTGGATGTGTAACTAAGAGGTTTTTGTGGAGTTTCCTGATCCACCTCTGCTAAATCCTAAGCAAATTACTATTGAAAGATACAGCTATATTAAAAATGTCTGCCCTTACTCCCATATTTCTCTGATGTTTCCATTGCACATTGGTTTCTCCCCTCAGTGGGATCTTGCTCTGTGTGATGGACAGAAGCACACACTATTCCCATGATTCCTTGGCAAACATGGCTTGTCATGCTCCCTAGTCTGACTGTTCTGGTTATGGCTGCTGAAAACTGGTAAGCACCTGCATACTGTACACATAGTAGGCAAAATGTGTAAACTGAGTCATGGTTTCAAGATCTTCTAGACTGTAGATGATGATGAAACATTTGCACCATAATGGCATTAATTTTTTTTATACTGGAAATTTAAACATGGCAGTACCCCCTACTACTGTGCAGAAATTTAGGCATAATTTTGATATATCATCCATATAATGATGATCTGATTAGCACTCTTCACTGGCCATCATGCTGCTCTATGGCCTCCCAGAGCATCTCAAATTTCTTATTTTGCTGTGTTATTCTCTTTAGGCTGTCTTGAGACGTGGAAAGTTGGTTTAATGTAGAGTGAGAGAGGAGTTCTCTAGAAACATGGCTTAAAACAGAAGACCAAAGAGATGTGTTCAGTTTCTTACTTCAGTTTTTCTGGCCAGGGTCATGTCAAGGCAAACACACGTAATATAGCTTAAGCATTTGAGTCAAGGTGGTGTTCCATGTTTTTGTGGTATTCCTGAAGCAAGTCAGTTGACTCTGGAATGATCTTAGATTATTATTCACTGTGTTGGTTAGTACTCATTCCAGATGGATGAGCTCTGTTGGACTTTTGCAGTGTTACGTACAGATTTATAAGTATACTGACTTAGTGTGTTTGTAATCCTGGCAATAGTGATGTTAGGAAAATCATTTTATTTTGGGAAAACACACACTAGCATATGTTCTGAAGTATTTGTTTTGTGTTAGTTTAATAATATGAGCTTGACAAGGATTTAAAAGGAGGAGAAGAGGAACCCTCTCAACCCTCAATGATATACAGACTGTAAAGATGGCCTGTATGCTGTAGTATAAATATAGGATGTGCTAGGGATGTTTTTGAAAAACTCAATCAACAGGCAGAATTATTACTGCTTTTAGATTGTTGCACTCACTCCTCCTGCGAGCAGGGATGCAAATGAGACATGATGCTACAGAAACTTATTGGTCCTGTTAGTGTGCTAAGCTTTTTTAGAATGTTTTTCCTTCCCTATCTCCGAAATAGTTCAAATTCAATAACTGCGGTTAAGATATTTTGGAAAGATGTCCCTAGACACTTTTGAATCTCTTCCCAAGTTCCATTGTGGAGACAGGAGTTCTGAACCAGTGTTTGTAAGCAAGTTATCTTAAAATATACTGTGTCTTAGTCTAAAATTAACCAAAAAGCATCCATAGTATTCTAGGTCAGTGCATAAATCTGGAGAAGTCAAAGCATATGCTTGCTACCCCAACTCATTGCAAAAATTTTTTCTTCCTTTTTTGGGACCATAACCAGTCCAAATCTCCCAGGCCCATTCACTGTGTTTCTAACATTTTCCTATATCTTACTCTTCCCAGGATGGATCGTACTTGGCTGAGTTCCTGCTGGAAAAAGGCTATGAGGTGAGTGACTCAGTGACTGACTGCAGCCTGATGGAATCACTTGGATGCTGCAGCTCTAGCTTCCTTTGCTTCTGTCCTTCTCTGTGTATGTTTTCCACTCAACCCTAGATAACAAATCAAAACTCCAGAGAGGAATGTGCAACATGGCCTGTAAGCACGCCAGCTTATTGTACTATTTATCATCTAATGTCCACTGGTGGATTCCCTCTTCTCCTTGGGGTATATCTGCTTAGTGTGTTTCCCGCCAGCTCAGATAAGCAACAACCTGTGCAAGCCAAAACTGTAAGGAATTAAGGAATAATTTATGATTCAGTGTACCACTGACAGGAACGAGGATCTCTTTTTTTCACTCTTGACACAAAAGGCCCTCTTCAGCAGTTGTACTTCAATGAAAACGTTGTATTTTCTTTTCTTTGTTTTTAAACAAACAAACAAACAAACAAAAAAAAACAACCAAACAACTTTAGGCTTTCTGTAGTGTAACTTTCCACTCGCTTTTCCTGGATTCATTATATTTTTACTTATTATACGTTATTTATCTTTTTAAAATAAACAAAATTAGATTTCTTTTCTGCGTAACTTTAGCTAAATTACTGGTTTTTTTTTTCTGTGGACCACCAGTATAACAATCACATTCCTGTGGGTTTGTCTGATGGTTCACCATATTAGTCTTGAAAGATTCCTCCAGAAGGAATGTCAGTGGAAGAAAAAGGAAGGAAATGAATGATCAAATGAATCTCTTCACAGTGCCTTTCCTGGCTCAGTAAAATTTAACGCACGTTCTACAACACTGGCTTATTACTTAGAACATTACTTTGGAACACTGTTTTATAGCTTGGTAAGAAGTCTCTTCTCATCAGGTTTGCACTTTGCATGCTTTTGCATGTGGTTAGTCTCTCTTTTTTTTTTTTCTCTCACTGCATTCCTCCTACTACTTTGTTGATTGATCTACTTGCTGGTGTGGTTTTTCATTGTTGTAAACTAATGAATTTTGCAATTTCTTCATTCTACTTGGGGAAAGAGAATTATTCTGGTTGCTTCTACTGTCTCCCAGGTAAAAGTATGTGTTTCTTAGTCCACAGTGAAATTGGGAACTGCTAGCTGCAGCTAAAAGTAAATATTATGGACTCCATGTGGAAATGCATGGGCCCTTTCCATTGCAGAAAAATTGCACAGGATTCTTCATTTCTGTTCCTCAAATCTCCATCTATTTGAAGTTCTTTACTGTGTTCCTAGCTCAGGACCTCTGTTCCTGAATAATCGAACACTGGGGTAAAAGTGATAATGTCACTTGTTTTACGCTTACTTTCTTTTAATTGCGATCTACCTAAAGATCAAGTCCTATTGAGAAAAACACAGATCTTTCATTCTTAACTAGATTTACCAGTCTGCACGTGTTTTAGCTTGTCGCAGTTTGTTTCACCTGTCCTGTGCACTCAATGGCATCTTTCATCATTATTTACAGTAATATTGCTATCATGGATTAAGCATTTGGCAGGCTTGCTTTCTTTTGTATGTGTGTACCAGAAAAAGGAGTGAAAGGCTTTATTTAAAAAGAAAAAAAAAAAAACAAACCCAACCCTGGGGTTCTGGGTTTTCCTGTTTTTGCTGGATGCATGAGGCCTTCTGGCTTTACTTTAGGAAATATTTTGAAGTCTTGTTGTAATTGCATTTAATATACCTCATTGTTGAGCATTGGTATCACAGTCATTCAGGTGACACAAAACTCTTGCAAGTATGAACTCTCATCTTTGAGCTGGCAGGGTTTGACTTAGTCAATTTTTTTGTGTGGACTTTAACTTCAAGGTGACTTAAGTCATGTAATTGAGAGATCAGATGTCTCTCATCAGGCTTTAGGCCGAAATGTCTCATATTTCTAGAACAATTGTGGGATACTTTTTAGCTTCCTTAACAGTTTTGAATTATCAAATTCTTCTGAAGTACTAGCTTGCTCATCAGAACAGCTTTTTCATTTAAGTAACCAAAATATCACCAACATCATTTGCAGAAGTTGTATTATAATGGAGCTGCCATTTTTTGTATTTCTCTGTAAATCATGTTCCTAGAAACTGCAACATTATGTAAATTACTTTGAGAGGGATTTTAACTGCGTTCCTTAAAACTTGCATTTATACATACATTCTTTAGGAATCAATTTTTATGGATGTGTGTAATTTCCCCATTGATCTTCAAGATGTAAATAAATTGCTCAGTTATAGAGTGTTCAACATTTGGATGCTAGAACAAGGTATTTTAAGCGTGTAGTGTAGCTGGGTGATAGAGATTTTATGCAAGGAAGTTGATGTTATAGATTTATCTAAGTTATATGGATGAAGCTCTTCGGCAGTAATTACAGACCTCACTGCCAAAATGTTGTTCATAAAGCTGGTCTCGTTCTGATGTGGCATTAAGTTTCAGGCATAAGATGGAATAAAATGTGTTTTATGTGAAAATAAAAATTTTCTTTCTGTGTAAATAAGAACAGCTCATGCTATCTGTGCAACAAAACAAAAACTTACCATCTTTTCCTGCTGGTGTATTCTCACAACTTAAGATAGTGTGAATGAGTGAAGTGGCCCAACTTAACGAGGTGTTGGATGCGTCAAGTTGTAAGTGTTCACTTTCTGAAATACAGAACAGTATGAAAGGGAGGGCAGTCAGAGGCTAACTTGTGCACAGTTCCTGCAGCTGTTAACCAAGGGTAACGTGAAGTTTGGCAGTAGGCATGGGGCTATCTTGCATAAAGAGGAAACAGAATCTGTGTTAGAACAATTTTTCTAATGTATTAGACACAAACAGGCCTTTCTTTTAACATTAGTCAGAGCTGCTGCTTTTTCACCAACCTATTTATCGTGGCTGGTTAGAGGAAATTCCCAACCAGTGTTTCAGTCTTAGAGTTGCTTGTGTGTCTTGTAACCCATCTGAGAACATTGACTCACAAGGTACAAAAAATAGGACTGACTGTTCAGTCTGTTTTTCCAAGACACCAGAAAGTGAATAACAGCTGTTTTCTAAAGCATCTTTGGACCTTGCTACTGCTATTCTTTCTTCTGCCCACCTCTTTCCTTTTCCTGGTGCTGAATTTTGCTGTTGCTTTTTACATGCCCATCAACTTTGGCCCTGGAAAAGCTGCTTTGTAGCCAAATACCAGTGGTTATCTTGAGATTCACTAATTGCTTCTCCAACTCCGCTAACATTGATGGGTTTCATTTACGAGGACATGTGATGCTCTAGGTCAGCTTAGTATTTTCTGCACTACATGTGATACCTGGGCTGCCAGGGTTGTCAACAAGGCACAAGGTGAAAACACTTGAGGCTACTAAAATGACAACATCAGAGCACATCATGAAGTATTTTGTTATAAATTGGAAAATTGTGTGCCTTTAAAATGGAGGCGCTGATGGGACTAGATGCATGTATCTGAAAAGAGAGAAGGTGGCTCTCCTTTGTCTTAAAGCATTAATGTTGAGAATATTTTAAAAATTGAATCACCTCTTATGTTTACTGTTTCCTTTTGTATTTTTCCATGTTTAATCTCCAGGTGCATGGAATTGTTCGTCGATCTAGTTCTTTTAATACAGGCCGGATTGAGCATCTCTATAAGAACTCACAGGCTCACATTGAAGGAAGTAAGATTTTTTTTTTTTATATTTAATGCTTTTTTAGTTTCCTTATTGCTGGAACAAAGTTCTTGGGAGCAGGAAGGGAATCTCAGTTTCTTCTGACTTAAAAGTAATGATTAGTTAATGCAATTAAGCTGTACTTGACTTAGGATTAGTTATTAAAAAAAAAACAAAAATAAACACTCCAAAGCTGAATAGCTAAGCTTTCCTTTTCTGTTAGCTGCTGTCTCACAGAAAATCAGTGACTTTTCTATGATCCAAGTGTGAAAAAGCATAGATATTCTTACGTGTTAACAAGAGGCAAAAGTGAAAAGCACAGGAAGGCGCTTTCTATTATTCATAATTACTGACGTAGTTTTTAAGTCATGGCAATAACAAATTGGCTGACCCTCCAAACATACTTATGAGGTTGAAAGCATTGGGGTTTCAGAGCACTCAATTTTTTTTTTTTAAGGCAGTTATCTATAACATTTTTTTTTTTTTTTACCAGTACATTCTTGATGCACTTAAATAGGCTTTTATACATGACCAACAGCATGGAATCTCATGCTTACATAGGTTTTTTGGATTAATTGCTTTTCTCTTCTATTTAGTTTGTGACCTCCCTTCATGCAATCCGTCCCACTTGCATAGGACGAAATACTGTATAGTAAGAGGGTCACATGTTGGATGGCATGTTTCTAGAACAACTTGTTTGTATCAGGATGATGAATTCAGGTTTAACAGAAGCCTTATTGCGTGGTCTTTCTAAGAGGAGTAAAATATTGAGCTGCTCTGTCAACAGGGATGTTCTGCACTCAGTTTCTTTTTTCTCATGAGCTTCTTTGTCCCTGATGTAGGTGAGAGTTTGGAAAAGCCTATATGACAGCATAAGTAAAATGTAATCAGTTCTTGTTTACAACTGGATGAATGCTTGGACCTTTAAAGTCTGCATCCATGGGAATGATTATGTATTTTTCCTGAAGGATTTGCTCTTGGGAAGTTGCTGGAAACTTTCTGACAATGGTTTGTGTTACTTTGATAATCTGATAAATGGTTACATTTTAGTGCCATTTCTTGGTATTTTGCTGTAAGGAGATGTTAACTCTTCAGTTAATGAGAAGAAGTAGTGTTGGTTCAGGAGGAGTTTGGAGAATTAAGTGTTTTGAATGAACATGTAGTTCTTCACATTGTATATTTCTAAAGTTGTGCAGAATGAAACAGCCTTAAAGAAACTTGAATGTCTAAGGTGTTACCTCTAAATATTTCCATGCTGTCAGCAAATTTTGTCTTTTGAACCATAATGAAGCAGAGCCTAACTTTACTGAACTGTAACATGTAATGCAGCTTTTAGATTTCTCTTAATTCTTTGCTTGTCTTTCATTTTTAAAGAACGTGAGTGAATTTTCTGTGAATAGTTTCTGCTTACTATACATTGCTACTTTAACTATCTTCTTGAAGAATACTCAACCCTATGTTTCCAACGAGGACAACATAAGAACTGTGTCCCGTGATTTAAATTTGACTTTCCAAGTAAAAGCAGGCAAAAGAGATCAAAAAGGAGTCCGTATATTATGAGGACAAGATATGAATATGGAAAGCCATTTGAGAAGATAACGTATATTGCAGATATGTATACAAGCATTTGAGAATTGGAAAAGAGAAAGAGAAAGCAGACCTTAAATATCACCCCACTTCTTATCTCATTTTCCTTTAATTGAGGAACTGTAGCCATATGAATTGAAGGAGAAAGAATTGGATTTGGAATCTCAGGAAAGTCTGCTCCATGGCAACTGGTTTGAAACAATGAGTTTCCAGGCAGTAATAGAGGAAGCAAAGAAGCAATAGTGATTGGTGTGAACAAACTAAATTTCTTTTTGCCTTGTGTTCTTCCCATGAACTGGTTACACATTGCAGGATGGGATGTAGGTGATCTTCATAGACAGAGAATCTCTGAATCCCCCCAAAAGAAAAACAGAAGGAAAAATGTGTTCCTTTAGCTGCTGCTTGCTGAGGAGACTTTTAGATTGGAAAAATTTCAATATCAACCAGTGCTTACCCAAAGGTGTTGGCATTTAATCTGTTTATGAATATTTGCCCCAAATAAACTGTTTCTGGTAGATCTTTTCTGCTTAGCAGATGACAGCCGAAAGACCTCTTTTTCAAGGATGTGAAAATGTAAACAGTGCCTTGTGTCCTGCTCTCCATTTAAAAGATTTTTAAACAAGAAACTTCAAAGGTGATGGGAGACAAAAATGGGTGCCATAGTGACAGCTTTAACGTATACATTTAATTATGGCAGAGCATCTCTACTGCTCAGCTCAACCCAGGTGGCAGCCCTCCATTCCCTAGAGTAAGGGAGCTCGGAGACCAGTCTCTGAGTTGGGGATGATAGCAGAACTGGATGTCTTTGGCATAGGAAAAGGGAGCCTGGCTATGGTGCTGTTTCCTCTGTTGCTCTTTGCCTGTGGAGGAAGTAGCAGTTATTTCAGACAGGTCTTCTATCTGGGGCCTCCTGTTGTAACAGCATCATCTCGAGCATTTTCTCCTAAAGTCTGGCCTGGCAGTCAGGGAGGCTTCATTTAACTTCCAGATGAAGTAAGAAGAGGAAGACATGCCAGGTGACCTAGGCATGTCTTTTTCTGGTGCAGAAAGGGCAGTGCATTTCAGTTCTTCCCTGCTCTGCCAACACCTATGTGTTGTCTTGAAGAAAGTAGCAACCACCATCAGAGAAAATGGTGAAGCGGTGCTTGCTAGTTATCTCTGTTAGTGTGGCAAGAAAAATGCAGCAGTTCATAAGGTGGTCTGGAGGCTGATGATTTTGGGGATTGTAGTTTAGCAACAATATCCAAATATTTTGGTTGTACAAATGTTTGGGATCTTTTGCACGCTGTGGTCTGTGATCAGAACTTGTTTCATGTACTGAATTTCATAAACACAACTTGCACATCTGAACAGTGTTTTAAAAATTGTGGTTTCTTGTGATAAACCTTGCATTTTATTTTGGGAATTGAAAGGAGAAGACAATCTGTGGATGATGCATCCTCCAGAAGAGTGATTATTGTCAAATGAGAAGGCAGCTAAACTGTGTTGAATAAGGGTTTTTTTTTATCTTGGAGCGGTGTAAACATCAATGTACTAAGGGCAGTAACGTTATCAAATGAAAATTGATGTAAATATGGCATCTAAATGGGAAATACTGGTGATAGGTAAGCAGTTGGACTGGATGATATTAGAGGTCTTTTCCAACCTTGGTGATGCTGTGATTCTAAATGTGACAGCTGTTCGATTAACATTTGTAACATTTTTAATAGATGTGGTTAGCAGTGTGGTGTTCTTAAAAATAAGATGTTTTATTAGAGTGAACTTATCTTTTCAGTAAGGTCTTAACAGGTGAGAGTCTGAAACCTATGATAAGTCCATAAGCCATTCCAGCCTGCTGTATTTTGACAGAAACTGGACTCTTGTTCTTGCCTGCCTTTTTACATGCGAATTAGAAATAATTAAACCAGGAAAAGATAGATAACATGCATGACTGATATTTCTGTGTCTGAGATGTGTAGTATCATGAAACATGTTTTATTGCTAGTTATGTTTTTATATGTATGCTTGTTTATAAACATAGTAACATATAACAACGTTATTTTACATGTATGCCTAAGTTATTAAAAAGGCCTGCAATAGAAAGATTGGAAGCCTGAACTAAAATAAAACTCTTTTGGGTGGCTTACGGCTGAAATTCAGTATGTGGCATTGGTCAAATATATGTATAACTTGGCTTAACAAATTGTAAGTTATTGAGGAAATGCCAAAAAAGGTTGCTAGGTAAGTCACGTTATTAAAAAGAATCGAAAATAGTATTTATTATTGTAGAGAAATGTATATTGTGAGTAAAGAGTTAAAAACAAGCATTGTCTTACTTAGCTAGTGTTCTCCATTTTTTCCAATTACTGTTTTTGAACTTTAAGCCTGGGATAGAATCTGGATGAAGAATGCTGTGTTGGTATTAAAGTATATTAACTGTATGTTCTTAAACTCTGAAGACATGAAGCTGCACTATGGTGACCTCACGGACAGCACCTGTCTGGTGAAGATCATTAATGAAGTCAAACCCAATGAGATATACAACCTGGGAGCTCAGAGCCACGTCAAGGTGAGCTGAGAACAATGAGTGAGTGTTGATGGAGATATATCAGTATATTTTTTAACTTGCCACATATATAACCGTTTTAATAAGTTCTGCCTTTGGTAAATACTAAATAATTGTACTTGCTGTGGTGCTGAGTTATGGCATGAGTTTGGAGACTGACTACATAAACAGATACTGGAAATTGGTGAGCTTAAATTTTCATTATCAACAAGATCTCTAGGTTGAGAAATCAATTTTTTCTACTGTTTGCAATAACTTTCTCTGTGCAGCATACTGGAGATCAAACCTGTGGAGAAATTGTGCACTGTTACATCAGACATCAAGTATAAACACGTTTGCATTAAAGTTTGTGAAAGGCTTTGCTTATACTGATTTTCATGTACATGGTATTTTTGTCTGACCTTTAAATAGAGAAAATGGCTTTGCTACAGCTTATGGCTTTACTAATTTTTTTTGCTAGAAAATCAAGTTAAAGAAACTGAAACTGCAAAGACTTCACCTTGGCAATGAATTGCTGTGTCATACTGGAGCACGTTTGATAGAACAGATAACTTTAATTTGTGTTATACATATGTATGTTAAGCTGTATTGTTTTATGTTCAGCTCAATTCACTGGCAGGTGAACTTTGTTTACTTGCCAAAATCTCATTTATACTCCCTGCCATGATTACAAACAAAGACTGGTGGCGAAGTAAATTGTTAGCCTTGTGCCCTTTCCTTAGTGTGTGCAATGTGAAAGTGTTCCTCAGCAGTAATATTCCCTAGCTTCTCTTGAGGTTAGAACTGAGGGAGCATTTAAGTTTAATGAGAACCACTTTGGTTTTATAAATCAGCTTTCCTATAGAAAACCATCTGGTGCTCCTATCAGTGCACAAGTTCTATGAGGAAATCATGATGAAAGACTCCAGCTATTGATAAGGCAGACAGGAGAATATAAAGATGAAATGGGAATAATCTTTGAATTGCTTGTGTGATTGAGTTAGGCAGTTTGCTCTATGCTATGCGTGAGTCTGGTTAGGGTTTTTAGATTGGGTACAGCACTGTAAGAACAAGTCTAACATGGTTCTAAGGGCAGCTCTGGTTCAGAAGGCATTTTAGCTGCTGCTTTGTAGAATTGAAATGGCAAATCGTTCCAGGTACTTGCAGACCAAGTTCAGATGTTTCAGTGCTTCATGTCTTAAACCATTTCAGCAGTTAACAATCTCCATGGAATTGGCTTGTATCCCCTAGGGAATGGGTCTAGAACTATGCTATCTCCATGTGCTTATTGCATTTGCTGGCAGCTTAAATCACAGCTCTGAGAGGTAGTAAAGGGATGATGGTGGTGATGAGGCTGCAGTAGATTCTTAGATAATACTGACATGGGCTCTGGGAAAGTTGATTCCTTAGGTATTGAACAAAGCTCATGCAGTGAGCCTATGCAGATCTGGTGCTGACTCTTAGCTTTTGGAACTCTAAAGTGCCATGGAGCACAGTGAGGGAGACCTGAAGAAGCTATCGCATAAGCTAGCATGAATGCAGCAGACCAATGCTTAAGCAGTGTGAAGAAGCCCTACTGTACCTAGGTGAAGCCTTGTTGGGGACTTTGAGGAGTGCTTATTGTGCTTCGTAATATCTCCAATAATAGTTCTGTTGTTGCAGCTGGGGAAATAATCCAAGTACCCCTGGCCTAATTAAAATGACTGGTGGACTTCACTAGGCTTTTGATAGGACTTAAAATATGTATTAAAAATTATAGATTTTATGAAGTTGGAAAAGACCTTTAAGATTGTCAAGTCCAACTGTCAACGCATCACCACTGTGTCCAGTAAACCATGTCCCTAAGTGCCACATTTGCATGTTTCTAGACAGTCCAACAGCATTCACCATTTGAAAACAATTCCCAGGATTAGAAGAGAGGGGTTAGAACTTGGCTGCTTGTTAAGAGTGAGGGACTTTCCCAGAGGACTTAACATTTCTTGCCATTATACTTTGCTGATGTAAATGTACCACTTTTGCCTGTGTGCAACATGTTTAGAGAAGGAAGAAAAAAAGACTACTAATCTTAGCTTACTTCACATTCTGGTCACTTAGAACCAGTGACGTCTTCAGTATTTTTTGGTGCTGTTTATGTTGGCATGTGTTTATGTAGAATAAAGTTTTTTTTAAAAATTGCTCTCGCTTCCAGTTAGTTTTATGTGAGCCATGCTGAAATGAAGGAAAACAAAATAATAGGAAGTTGGTCTGGTTTCCTACAGGAAACCAATGAAGATGAAATTGGTTCTTGGAATGAGCCCACGGTAGTCTGGGAAATACTGTCAGAGAAGACTTTTTTCTGAATCATAAATAGTGAAGATTATGACTCATAAAATAGGTCACTGGGAGGCTGTTCTAATCTTCTACATGGGAGAAAGTGAGAGAAGGCTGAAACTTAGTCATTAAAAACAGTAAACTTAACAAAATGATATCATCAGTAGGAACAAATTATCCAGTATGCATTCCTGTCTGTTTTGAGGAGAAATAGGGATTAGCTACCCATACTGTAACTTGTGTGTTGGGTGTTTGGAAAACAGTGGCACATTCACTTTAGAGCTACTTCAGCCTCTTGTTCTCTGTCCAGTCTTTGTGTCTTCCTGCTCTGGCTCTCAGTGCTTTGAGGATACACTGTGTTGCTCATGGCTTGTTTTCGTGTAAGTTTAATGGGAGAAATTGTCAGTATATTCTAAATAACAACAAATTATGTATAAGTAGTGTGCAGATGACTTTAAGTTCGTAGCAAAACTCTACTTGTACCCCTCTCAGTTGAATGCCTTAGAAATCAATTACTGAAATACTACTCTGACTCTATTTTCCTTTTTGCATGGAGTTTCAGTAGATGCACCCATAGATGGATATGACGGATGTGCAGATAACCACAACTATTCTGTTTACTTTAAATTGTGTGAAGACTGGGGGATTAACATCCTAGATTTTCCCTTACTGTTAACATTTGGTGCCAAAAATTTTGTAGCAAGTATGTTTTCTGGTACATGAAAAAGAGTTGATTTCTATGTGATGTTGAAAGGTAAGGTCTTACCTGTATGTAACTATGTTTAAAAAGTCAGTATATGCTGTGTTTTTTTACCTGACAAAATGTGTGCAGCTTCTTTTTCGTTAGTTTACTTTCTATTTATTCCTTGCATGTACTGGTGTCTGCAGAATTTCAACTAACCATGGTAGAATTTGCTTCTTAGAGGTGAGATTTAAGAATCCAGGGGACTTCTAATCCCTCACTTGAATAAAAGTCTCTTTACACTTAATTGTTTTAGTCAGCTTTATCTCTAGGCCCTCTTTTTTTTTTCCTTATATATTTGTCTTCTCTTACAAAGAGGCTTTTTAGTATCTTCTTTCACCACACAGATGATATAGGCTGGCAAAGGTAAAGAACTTGTGAATTTCCAATTTGTGACTCATAGTTGTTGTGAACCAAACATCATACTGTTAGATTTCAACCTCATACCTATTAATGTGATTCTCTTCATATTGCATGGAAGATGTGTAGCAGCAGGAAGGATTTAAGCAAAAAAAAGAGACAAAAAGCAACTAGGTCTTCAGAACCCAGGGAGGGAAATTCCAAACTTATGTAAAACCCGTGCTTGTGTGGACCTCTGCTGAAGCCTGAAGTTCTGTAGCTTGTATTATTTGAATTTCATGAAGATCCCGCCTCATTGTTCCAGCCTGCTGAGATCTTCTGAAGGGATTTACCTTCTGGCATTATCAACCATTCCTCCCAGTTTTGTGTTCTTTGTAGACTTACTGAGGATGTGGTCTGTTCCATTATCAAGGTCATGAGTAAAGATGTTGATCAGTATTTGCCTGAGTATTTATTTCTGGAGTATTCAGCTGGTGACTGTCCTCCAAGTGGACTTTCTGCCTTTGGCCACACCACTGAACCTGGCTCTTCAGCCTGTTGTCAGTCCACCTCCCTGTTCATTTAACTAGCTCAATCTTCCATCATCCGTAGACATAATAATCTCACAGAGGGCTATGAGATTAGTCAGGCATGATTTTGTCTTCATAAATCTAACTTCTGATCATCTTCCTGTCTTTCATATGTTTGAAAATCATTTCCAAGTTGTCAGCTCCCAAGAACTTGTGTGTACCCATTTTGTTTAAATAATCCCATCCCTGTATCTTCCTCTATCAGAGGTAAGCTTTGATTGCTATAGACCTTCCATGTGTCTCAGGGCTTGTGATTCCTTAATATCAGCTTTTATCAGTATAGGCAGGTGAATAGGACACGGAATACCTCAGCCATAAGATGATTTTTGTCACGAAGTCTGCCCTGTTAAGTAGCAGGCCCACATCTTCTCTGGTCATCTTTTTAAATTTTTTTAAAAATTTTTAATTTTTTTTTAATTTTTTGATGCTGATGTAGAAAGTCATCTTACTGATTCAAAAAATGTGCTTTGCTTTGCTTACCCCCGTACCTATGTATTTGAGTAATGCCTCTATATTCCCTCTGGGTCACTTGTACCTGTTTCCTACTCTTATGTGTTTGCTTTTTATGCTTTAGCCAGGATCTCGCTATTTATCATGTGAGCCTCTTGCCACCTATGTATGATCTCATACTTCTCAAGATGAGTCCTTTTTGAGCATAGAGGAGATTTTTGAATATCAGCCAGCTCTTGTGGACCCCTGTTCTCTTAAGGTCTGATTTCACTGGTGCCCTACTAAGCAGATCCCTAGACAGTCCAAGTCTGCTCTCTCTATTGAAATCTTTGGTTGCGATCCTGCTTTTTGTCATGCTCATGCCTCTCATTATCCTGAACATTACAGTCTCATGGGCACTGCAACTAAGGCTGCTCTGAACACTTCTTCCATGTCTCTAAAGATCAGATCTTGATAGCTTTTTTCCTTCTTGTCTATTTGGTCATCTATGTCACACCATCCATGCACTCCATAAACCTGGACTACTTGTGCCCTGCTTTGTTGTTTCTATAGCAGATATCTGTGATAAAATGGAAGGCAGTAAAAGGTTCCCC